ATTGCTCGAAACGGGACGAAAAAAGCTGGGAATGGCTACAAATCGGCTAAAACAATTTCTGGAAACCGAGAAAAAGGCGGGATATAGGTAAAATTGGCTGAAAATGGGGTGAGAATGACTAGGAAACGCTCGAAAATGACCAAAAAAGTTCCCAAATTAGCCCCCTCATTCCTTACCGATAATCTAACACAGCCGCAAATTTCACCTGTGGCTCCGCTGCTCTATCTTTAAGAGAGTTGTATATTTTAGAAAATTGCGTCGCTTCAGAAGTGAACAAGAGACGTGGAAGATGTTGATCCTGAAAAATTTGGGTTACGATAGATGAGATTACTGTAGCTAGATCTAGGGTTTTTGTGGTTCGATGTAGGATTACTGTAGCTGAATAAAGGATTACTGTAGAAGATTCAAGAGTTGGTTCAGCTAGATCTAGGATTACTGTAGCTAGATCTATGATTACTGTAGCTGACACTAGGATTACTGTAGAAGAATCTAGGATTACTGTAGTTGGATCCCGGATTACTGTAGCTAGATCTAGGATTACTGTAATTTTGGCCTGTGCCATCAAAATGATCAATAATTTACCTCCTGTCTTAAGTTCTGCTCAGCAAGAATCTTCAAATTGTGAGTTGCTTTCATCCATTCAGTCGGCGATGAGAGCATTTCGGTGAATATCGCCTCGAATTCTGGTTTTTCGGTGGAGTTACTGTAATTTTTTTTTCGTTAGTTCTCTGGAAACTTTTTTTTCAACTTACACAAGAATAATCCGCTCACTTCCATTATTCAACAAATTCTGTCCACATGAATCGTATATCAACAAGGCTCCAATACGCATTTTTTGTTCGAGAACCTGTGGAGTCGTCTTGGCATTGGCTAAGGATGCGCTTGCGGCGGAATTTCCTGAAAAAAAACTATGTAATGAAAAAAATCACAGTATCTCGGTTAGTTCAGGTCGAATTTCGATGGAACTGCTACTATTGGAAACAGCTCATTCATACGATTCGAAAGAGTATAATCATGACTACATTCTGAACAATTTTGATTTTTTGGGTCTCGCCACGAAAAGCTGAAAACTACCGTATCTCACTTGATCTTTGTCAGACCGGGATGAAAATTTGATATTTGAAATCAACTCGTCTAGACGGTTCAGATGACTAGAACCATGACTATCTTATAAGCAATTTTCATGTTTCGGGTCTCACCACGAAAAACTAAAAACTAGCGTATTTCGACTAATTTCCATCGAATTGAAATAAAAAAATTCATATTCAATATCAGCTCGTCTCGACGGTTCGAATGATTATAATTTTAAATATATTTTGAGCATTTTTCTTTCTTTTTGGGTATCTACACGAAGCTACCGTACTTGTTGCTCCACGCTTTTCCTTCTTGACCATCATTCGTTTGACGATCACGGCAATATAGATCTTGCGTGCACCAACGAACTCATGTGCCGGCAAGTATATTTTTTTCGTGTTGAATTGGTTGCCAAGATCATCGTTCAGCCGTTTTTGAGTGAGGGAAATCATTGCCATGCCAAGTTTTCTCAATTTCACGCGGTCTTGACTGTCGAGCAGGACGGCAAAGGATTGCACAAAGCAGGCTGACGTGTCGACTAAAAATGGGGTTAAAATGGAAAGGTTTTTAAAGAATTTTATTGAAAGCGGCGCGTATGGTTTTGAGATTTGAATTATTTTTTTTTCGAGCACACAAATGAGGATTTTTGAGCATTTTACACCCGAAGGCACACACTTTCAAACTTCGGGACTGTGCGAAATTTTTTTCAAATTTTTTTTTCGGTTTTTCGTTCTTTTTTTCCGAAAAAATTTTTCGGGAAACAAAAAATTGAAACCCCCCGAAATATGATTTTTTGATTTTTATTCGCCCTGAAGAATTTGAAAATAATTTGTTTCGTTTTTTCCGGAATTTTTTTGGCACCGTTTTCAGGCTGAAAAAGACGAATTCTTGCTGAAAATCGCTTGAAATTTTTTGATTCTGCTCAGAAACTGAGTTAAAAATTGCAGTAAAACCAATGAAATCGGTCATTTTCGAGCAAAAAAAAACGTTAGAATCATTTCCAAAACAATAGAAAACCGCAACTTTTTTAAATTGAAAATATCCTGGAATTGCTCAATTTCAGCTGAATAACATTAAAATTTCCGCAAGAAAATTATGGGTTTTCAATTTCTTAGTTTTGAGCTCAAAAACCGAAAAAAACCCTGCAAATGCGCCGGCGGCGCGTTTGGATTGAAAAATTTGATTTCAATAGACTCCAAAGCCGCAGAACATTGCAAAAAAAAAACTAACAACACGAAGCGTCCATCGAATTTCCCCACGACTTGACTTTAGTAAATTCGAGTGTGGTCAAATGATGATGATCATACATTCGTGCTTTTCGCTCCAAAAGTCGATCTGCTTCATCCTGAATTTTCGGCATCACACGCTCTCGACAAATGACTCTTCCCTCGAAAAGTTTCTTCTTCTGAACAACATTCTGAACCAGAAATCGGACATTATGAGATGCCACGATCTCATCTCTACTGTAGTACTCATGGAGCTCATTCGGATCACTAGACGTTATTAACGTCTTCTGAACGTCTTCAAGACGTCTTGGACGACCTTTTTTCCGGCGGCTTGTGGTGGTGGTAGTAGTGGTGGTTGCCAGTGACTCCATGGATTCATCGAAGACCTCCAGATTTGATGAGGAAGAATTGACGGAGGAGGTTGTTGGCTGCTGATTCACCTCGTTCTCCTTCACTTCCTTCAGGGATCTCGGCGATCGTTTTGCTGAGGGCGGCTCCACTTCATTTCGGCGCTTCCGAGCGGCATCTGTGGTGGTGTTGGTGTTGGTGGTGGCGGTAGTCGGCGTCGTAGGATCCGGACTCATCCCCCCGCTGGAGCTGGAAAATCGGAGTTGGACGAATGTTAAGGATAGTTAAGACTGGAAAAAGAAAAAAAATGAGAGAGAGAGGGAGAGAGAGAAAGACGCAGAGGGATACCCAAAGCTTAGTGGAAAGAAAAAAACGATGTGGTGAACTGGACGAGGAGAAAGAGGCAGAGGTAAGAGACACTGGCAATTGAGACGCAGACAGGTTTTGTGACATCATATTTGGGGGACAGCCGTCCGTTAGATTCGGCAGGTGAAAAAAACTGGTAGGAGATCGTTTTTTAGATATTGATCAGCTTTCGATTCTAGGAAACTCGCGCATTTAAAGGCGCATGATGAAAAGGGCAAGATCTGTTTTGCAATTACCCGTGGAGAACCTTTCATAGGCAATTTTGGAGCTAAATTCGATTTTAAACTTACAAAAACTCTGTGCGGCGGCCTTGCATAGTGGGCGGGGCTAACCGTATGTCAAAATTAGCTCTATCGAAACCCAAAAAGCTCATCAAAATTCGACAAAAGTTGACACTTTCAGTCGAAATTGGCTAAATCCATCTAGCTCAACGGCTTCTTTTTAACAGGATGAGTCACCGTCTCTATTTCATCGAAAAGAACAGAGACACCCTCTCCTGCCAGAGAGTGACAAATCAATAAAAAGGGGAGCGACGCCTTTGCTCACAAGAAGTCGTCGATGAGAGAGAAAAGAACGAGGCGCGCGTGTGCGGGGCTCGACTCCTCTTATAATTTGAAAAGAGACGAGTGGGAAGGGGCGAGACAACTAGAGTGTTGGCAATCTGGTGGACCAGTTGCCAACTGATGATGCCGCCGTGTTGATTAAAACAGCTTGTATTGATTATGAGGTAGGTTCAATTTAAAGGCGCAGCATGTTTTTTGTTTTCAGGAAGGAAATTAAGAGGAGGCACTGAAGAAGTTCAATGAGGCTACCGAGTTTTCGGGGTATCAGGTTAGTGAAAATGCGCTATACTGAACCCGCCAGAATTAAAAAAATTTGAAAAAAAGATTTGAGCCAGTGGGTATCGAACCCGAGTATGAAAAATTCAAAAACAGCCGTGCTAGCCACTAGGCCACGGCATGCAACGTGGAAGGATGGGAAACAGGGCATACAGGAAACTGCGGATTTTGAAGCCGCGCAAGCGGAGATCAAAACTTCATATTTTCCGTGAACACCGTCACGTCAATTTGCAGAATTTTCGTAGATTACTGAAATCTTCGAATTTTTTGGCGGGAATTCAAATTTTTTCAAAATGTGGTCTTACTGCGCAAAATTCGTTTAAGAAAACAGAGAGTAAAGTGCAATAAATCAGTGTCATTTGGGTTGGTTTGAAAAAGAAGAAGAAACTGATAACAGAAGGGACGTGGAGAGATCAGAAACCACGCGGAGGCGCAGAGAAAAGTGTGTTTTACCCAGATAGACGGGTGTGTAAGGGCGCCATAATGGTCATTTGAAAAAATGGGAAAGTTAAAAAGAAAATAAAATAACATGCGCCTTTAAACCAGCTTTCCCGATAGCTAACAGGATATGTCGTAAGATGCTGTGTCAAGTCCGTAGACACCGTACTCCCAAGTCATTTTCAGTCCGGCTTAGCCTACTCCATCGCTCTTTGCCACTATCGCCGGAGGGACAATGAGAGTTCTCTGACCCTAATTGAGGAAATCATCAAGAGAGGGGTCAAGGATCATCCTGGTATGTCTGTCTGTGTGTCTGTCAGTCTGTATCTAGCCCATCTGAACTCTAGAATTCAACATTGGCGCTGGAAGTGAGGGGAACGATGTGAACTTCATCCAAAACACACAAAAACTTCTGATCGAGGCATTCAATTTGAGATTCGCCATTTGTTACAGAACCAAGGATTGTGGGTTTTTTTCTCTCATGGAAAAAGTAGATCAAAAAATTGCAGATGAGGCTGCCAAGGAGAGTCTGATGGATATGCCGCCGAGAAATGAGCATGACGCCGATCCGATCACTTTGCATAATACCGTGAGCACCGTTGAAATAGCCACTCCCAAAAAAAAAGCAAAAACATTTTACCCCGATCCTTCCCCCCTCTTCTCGGTAGGCACCGCCATGTGTAAGCCGTCCCCTTCCATTCGGCTCGTTGACCTCATGGCCTAGTGGCTAACGCTGTCATTTTTTAATTTTGAGGTCGTGGGTTCAACCCCCACCGGGGTCAAATCTTTTTTGCTTTTTTTCCATGACCTTTTTCATTGAGGCTTGCTATTGAAAAACTTTTACTGTGCTTTTTCCGAATGTTATCCATTGGGTAGATCGGAGCTGTGTTTACTTTTTTCATAAAAATGGGTTTCAAGAGATAGATTACCAAAATTTATTAAGAAGATGATGCATTGAAAATAGAACAATAAGTCATTACCACGTTTCAGATTGAGAATTTGGAGCAATAACCATTTGGAAACACACGTTATAAATATGTGACGGGAAACGGGGAAAAATCACCTAATGAGAAAAATAGCGAAGAATTTGAATTGGAAAACAAAGACTGAGAAAAAAAAGAGAAGTGTAGGGTAATTAAAGCACAGCAAAAAGGGATGAATAACATAAAAACAATAGGTACTTAGACAACAAATGTTTAAAAATTCGGGTGTGAACTTGGAATCAACATTGTGCGGTGTTTGACAAAAACGATGAAAAAACTTGATCTACGAAAAGCCGATTCTGGCAATAAAACACACGAAAAGAAATACACCGAAAAAAACACTTGGAAAACAATATTTGAAAAGAAGTCACTTGAAACTGGAAATGAGAAGAAAATCATTACAAAATTATTGATGATTGAAACAAAACTTTTTAGGGTCTTAATTGAATTTGATTTGAAGAAATCCATTGTGCCCAGATTCTTATTCTTGCATTATTAGATTTTTCGATTATGAGTGCGAAAACGTCATGGCAACAAAAGAACCCCAAAGGACCGGCGAGAAGAACAATTTCATGAACCAATTCTTCTAGTTCGTCATTGGTGTATATTACTCCATCCGAATGAAACTTGTGAATTTGGAGCAAGAACTTAGAAGCAGCTCGTAAAGCAAAACTTTGAATGCTTCTCATGGCTTTCCTGAAATAGCATGCCTACGATTTCATCAAACTATGCGATGTAACTCACTTGATGTTTCCGAAACAGTGTGGACGGAAAACCTTCAAAACATCAACTCCGTCAGAGGTACACAGGCTTTGCGCACAGTCGAACGTCATTTCCAGTAAATACTGGTTTCCTCGAAAAGGACCCATGCTACTTAGAAGGGCAATCAGAATTTCGTCGTTAGAGTAGTGATTTATTCTGTTTTTGAGGCCCAACATGATCGTTAGAAGTTCTAATAACGACTGATGGACCCTGGAGCACGGATTGTTTTCTTCAAGAATAAATCTAATTGAAAATCCGAGGTTCCCATACTCCTTATTAGTGAGAGGGAAAGCTTGAAGAACTTCCTTGTTTCTAATCAAGAATCCGGAGAACATGTGTAGCACTTGAATGTCATCTCTACCACGCAAATGCTTAGCAAATGTCCTGAGCATTGCCATTGAAGAAGATTTGATAAGATCCTGATTATCCACGAGAATCCCAAAGTTCATCAAGATTTTTGTTCCGACATTGAAAAGATCATAACCTGCAACTGGCGTGCGACGATCAGTCCAATCTGCCACAGTGACCACTTGCACTACTGCTCTTGCGACTTCCTCTCTTTCCTTCGTTGTGAACAACGAAAACACCAGGCGATGACTGAAATAATCAACAATGTGAAAATGTTCAGAAAATCAATCAAAACTATGAAAACATGCATTCTATTTCATACATGTCAAGTGAAAAAATTATACCTGAACATGGTGTGTAAGCATTCCGCAGCTGTGAACTGGTTTTGATAGTTTTGAGTTGAACTAATCAAAACCAACGAGAGCGCCTTGGCACATTTCTTCAGATCCAATTCTTCTTGATTCCCGAGTTGAGTTGTTATTATTTCGCGAACACGAGTTAGTATGGCTTGGGATCGCACTTCGTGGGAGCTATAGATCATCAGCGAAGTGGAACATGCATCAAGATCAAAAACAGTGAAGAACTGTATTCCTTCCTTGAATTGTAGAAACTCATTCTGGGGCCTTCTGTCATGAGTGGTGTCTGAAATACGTTTTAGACCTACGATTAACTGAGAACGAACACTCACTTATGACACTAACGTGCTTAATATTTGAGTGTTGGGTGAGAAGTGTTTTGAGCGTTTCCGTTTCGACAGATAGTTTGTTGCCGCAAAGATCCAAAAATTGCAAGTGTGGCAACGGAGATTTGCGTTTCGTCAGAAGCTCTGCGGTGTTGGCAAACTGCGCATTTGAAGAAATGTTCAGAGCAATCAGATTATCCAGGAGAAGAACGGGATAGAGACAAGACTCTTTCTTGAATTCCAGATCCTCCAACGAAAGATACTTGAGCTCCGTCAACTTCTCGATTTGCCCCAAATCATTAACTTTTGTCTTCCCAATTGACAGGCTGGTCAGTCCACTGAAATTGTTGCAAAGTATTTTGAATTCGTCGTTTGCCAGGGAGCATCCAGTTATGTCCAGGATAGTAATCGCCGAGCATCGATCGTGAATCTGAAATACAAAATACGTTCATTCTGAGATTTTTGAGAACAATGATTTTTTAAGGGAACCTGCCTACTAATAATAGTAAATTTGTGTTTTAGACGCAAACTGTTTGCCAAAAAAACCAACCAGACAGCGTTTCAGAATATGATGTTTTTTTTCATGTAGATAAGATATGAGATTTCAGGATCTTTATGATGAAGAGCAAATTTCATTCCAAACCACTCACCTGAGTAATCCAACCCTGTGAGAACGCAACACCGGTGCCTTGAATGATCAGCGATTCCAAGAGCGGCCAACAGTTCTTATTCAGATACTTCTTGATGAACCAATCAATATCAAGGCGCTTGCCTGAAAAACACAAAATATTTGTTATAGCTTTTCAGAATAACACAACATACCAAAGCCTTTCTTCTTTCCGTTTGGATTTTGAGTACAAATCGTGGAAGTCTTCAGATTCAATAACTCTAATTTTGTGATCATCTGTGCGTGAATCATGTCTAGATTTTCCTTTTCGTAGTTATTGTCGCCTAGTGTTAGGCGACTGATGCAGAAGTAGTCTTCGATTTTTTTTCTCAGGTCTTTTGGGATTTTCACGTGAGGGGTATGTAGTTTCTCGAAAATCATGTCGCTGATCGCAGTAGTCAGCTTGCCGGAAATATCACAGTGAACACCTGAAAAAAAACATTTTTGAAGAAGAGCCAAAACGTAAAAAAAGGCTTGTTGGGGGGGGGGGGGGGCTATCTGTACAAAAACAGTTGTGATCGGCAACTCGCTCGCAATATCACACCATGAAAACGGAATTCAAAACACAGCGAAAGCTACAGTAGTAATCGAATTTTCTCCCGAAAGATTTCACGGGGGAATTCATGAATTTTACTCATTTTCAATACTTTTCATCGATTTTTGACAACTAGTTTCTCTTTTTTTTTAAAGGAAAACAAGAAAAACAGTGAAATCCGAATAATTTGACGAATTTTCCTCAAAATATCTTGTAGCAGGAAACTCATTCATTACTGCAGCACTTGTGTTAGAATCAGCAAGACAGGTGGCTTTGAAGAAGTAATATAATGGCCAGGTCGAACAACTTTTTAGAATCTAAATTTAAAGGCGCATCGCTCTAAGAACTACTGTATCTCTGTCATTTTTGATTCAAATTTGATGAAAATTGTATCATTAGAACCGGCAGGACAAGCCGGTTTCAAAGAGTATAATGATGGTTAGGAAACTTTTGGGAATTTCGCTTCAAATGTGCATGTTTCTGAAACTACTGTGGCTTTGGCAGGTTTGCTCCAAAATTGATTTTAAAAAGTATATTTATGAAATCAGCAAGACGGGTTTGAATAAACTTAATAGTTAAAAATACTAGGCTGGAAAATCATGAAGAATTTTAGTTTAAAGGTGCATGGTTTGGAAACTATTGTATCTCTGTAAATTTTGATCCAAAATTTATGAAAATTGAATTATTAGAATCAGCAGGACAAATCGGTTTCTTTTTTTTTACAGAAAATAATATTGGCTATGTCAGAAATCCTTTCGGAATTTCACTTCAAAGGCGCATGGTACTGAAAACTAATGTATCTCTGCCAATTTCGCCCGGTTATTGATGAAAAGTGAATGAATTAGAAACGGCATGATTAACCAGTTTGAATGAGTATAATCATGGCTAGATTAGAATTGGTAACGTAATCAGCCAGAACGGGTTCACACTCGTCAGAGGTATCTTTCATACAAATCTCTGAATAATTACTTTCCCATGTTTTATCACACCCCCCCCCCTCTGAGAAATGTTCAAAAGTCGATAAAGAATTCATTAACGTACCTTTCCGATAGTTTTCGACAACCACTGGCAAACACAATTCTCTAAGAGTTGGACACGGAGGTTTTTGAGAAGTCATTGTAGGTTTACTGAAAACAAGCTGAATTTTCAAAACTGACGAATTAAACGTTAAAAAAAAGAACAAAACAAAAGAAACACCGGTATAAATCAATGAGAAAGGTGTTTGCAATATGCATGCACACATTTTTCGAATGGAATTAGACTGTTGGGGAATATAATGGAGGGCACAAACGAGATAGTGCATGTGGACAGGAGAGTTAGAAGAAGAGGCCATCTGAGGGCCCTCTCTCTCCTGCAGAGAAAAAGGAGGGGGAGGTTGCCATTACACCAAAAGAAAAGACGAAAAGAACACCAAAGGTTATTGTTAGATTCTTCATCTTGTCAATTTAAAATTAATTGGGTGTCAATTGACGATTCCAAAACTATGCTCATAGAAAGTATAAGTTATCATCCCAGAACGTAATTCCTAATAGTATATCAAAGTTAAAAAAGCCTTGCTTGTGTTTTTTGTTTATTGGTGTAGGTGATTCTACCAGGATGAACATTCACCTAACTCTTTTCTCTACTTTGCGCAACATTTTCAGCTTCACCCATCCTAGAGAAAACATAACGCTTGAATCAGCAATTCCGAAATGAACCTTCTTTTTAGGTTGCAAAAAATTTTCAAGTGCAAATGATATTTATTATCCTCATATAGCACGTCACTGTGCGCTCCATTGATGACCAGTGGCCGCCCCGTTGGAAAA